CATAGGCGTAATGGTTTTTATACTGTACAGACCGTATATTCTATTGCCCTACACCAACCCTACCCCTAAACCTACCCCTTACAGGAAACTTTGTGCTATTTCAGATGTTCAATACACTCCATTCTGTGTGATTTATAAGCGTTTTGAAAAGTGGGGACATGGGGTAATGACCTGAAAAGTCACCTTCTCCTTGTAATACCTATGTCATACCTTTGTCATTATACTCTCTCACACACACACACACAGGCACGCACACACACACGCACACAGAGACACACTCACTCTCATACACACACTCACACACACACACACAGAGACACACTCACTCTCATACTCACACACACACACACACACACAGAGACACACTCACTCACACACACGCACAGACACACACACACATACAGAGACTCTCACACACACACACACACACACACGATTGGTATATGAGCACTGAAGTGTAAACATATCAGTATTTGCACTGATTGTCTCATTGGTCTCTCTGTCTCTGTCAGTCGCGTAGTTTGTCTCCGCAGTGGGTTTTCAGCGCTCGAGGTGATTACAGCAGAGCCTCCAAAAACCTGCACGAGGCCATAAAGAACAGCGACATTCAGGACGAGAGACTCGCCAGGCTCTACAACACACGCATTATGAGGGTGAACAAATGCATGCATGTACATTATAACTTGAGATAAAGGAATATTCAGAAAAATTAAACAAAATTTACTCACCTTCATGTCATTACAAACTCAGAGATACTTTATAGGATGTCCAGAGTGTTTCATATAATGCAGCGATTCCTAACCTTTTTTTTTTTTTCATCCGAACCCCTCAGATGTGAAATATTTACTGGAGAGTTTCAGTTAATATTTCAATAATTTTAACACATTTGTAAGGTGGTTAGTGGTCACATGACTTGCAGCTAAAACAATAAAATTTTTAGCCCTACAAAATGTAATTTCTGTTTTGGCTGAATATTTTCAGTTGCCGAAATTGCAGTGCATCACTATATTATGGAAGCTTATTTCCACCACAAAATATAAAAGTTAATAATTGCAACTTTTTATCTCATTGCTGACTATTGTAATCACAGATTTGAGGTTTTATCTGAAAATTTAGACTTGTTACAATTACGTTAATTTTTTTTATTCTGTACCTTCGCAGAATTGGAATTGAGTTATAAACTTGCAATAACACTTTTTTTTCTCAGAATTGCGAGTTTATGTCTTGCAATTGCACAATATCTCATAATTCTGACTTTTTCCGCAGAAGTGTGAGAGGAGAAAAATCTGAATTGTAAATATAAACTTGCAATTACGAGAAAAAGTAAGAATTGTGAGATTCCCAATTATCTTTTTCTTGTATCTCTTGTTCTCAGAATTGCAAGTTAATTTTTTAGTTATAAACTCGCAATTGTGAGTTAACATTCTGAAAAAAGTCCATATTGTGAGATATGAATTCCAAATTGTGAGGTAGAAGTCATAATTACTTTTTATTTTTTTGTTTCATGCATTTTCAAAATTGCGACTTTGTCTCACAATTGCGCAACGTCTCTCAATTCTGAGAATTGCGAGGAAAAAACCCAGAATTGTGAGATAAAAGGTCGAAATGTTTTATTGTCTTCTCAGAATTATATCTTGCAATTGCGAGTTATAATCTCACAATGACTTTTTTCCCAGAATTCTGAGTTTATATCTTAAGTTATAAACTCGCAATTGGGAGTAAACATCTCGGAATTCAGAATCGCAAGAAAAGTTGGAATTTTGAGATAAATCGCAATGAACTTATTTTTTTTTTATTCTGTTTTTTCAGAATTGCGAGTTATAATCTGACAATAAGACTTTTGTTCTCAGAATTGCGAGTTTATATCGTATTATAAACACAATAAAACTGTAGTTCTCAAAATTGCATGTTTATATATTGAATTATAAACTCACAATCGGGAGTAAACATCTCAGAATTCAGAATCGCAAGAAAAGTTGGAATTTTGAGATAAAAAGTCGCAATTACCTTTTATTTTTTAATCTGTTTTTCCAGAATTGCGAGTTATAATCTCACAATAAGACTTTTTTCCCCAGAATTGCGAGTTTATATCTTAAGTTATAAACTCGCAATTGGGAGTAAACATCTCGGAATTCAGAATCGCAAGAAAAGTTGGAATTTTGAGATAAGTCACAATTAACTTCTTTTTTTTATTCTGTGTTTTTTCAGAATTGCGAGTTATAATCTGACAATAAGACTTTTGTTCTCAGAATTGTGAGTTTATATCGTATTATAAACACACAATTAAACTTTTGTGCTCAAAATTGTTGAGTTATAAACTCGCAGTAGTGAGTTAACATCTCAGAATTCAAAATTACGGGGAAAAAACCGGATCTGTGAGTCGTAAACAGCGTCCGATCACTTCTGGACATCTTGCAAATGATCTTTTGTGTTCCGCTGAAGAAAGAAAGTCACACAGGCTTGGCTCGACGTGAGGGAGAGTAAATGATGACGGAACGATCAAACCTTCACGCCGCACCTGCTTGTGTTTGTTGCGCGCAGGTGGAGTACTACTTCCTGTCGCAGTACGTGTCGGTGGTGGAGACGCCGTTCCGTCACGTGTTTCACGGCCGCGGCGATCACACCCTGAGCGCTCTGGCCGATCACCTGTCGCTCCTGCGCTCCGCGCCGCACCTGTTCGACGAGGCTCGTTTCCGCCGCCAGCTAGCGCTCTTCACCTGGACGCTTCAGGGCGCCGCGAACGCACTCAGCGGAGACGTCTGGAACATCGACAACCCGCTCTAGAGCTCCAAACACGGCCTTCAGCGTCTATTTATCCAGCAACAACTCGAATCCCATTACATGGAGTGTGTTTTCATACAGTCAAACCAAAATGTATTCAGACAGCTTCAGCATTTCTCACATTATCACAGTGCTATAGCTATCATAAGCTAATCATAGCTATAGTTTAGAAAATGTTAATAAAATATGACAAGAACTGTCTCAGAACAAATTCATCTTGATAATGTCAGATAACTTTGAGAGAAAGGTATGTAATGAGTTAGGTTGAACTGGGGTGTGCGATATATATCTTCTGCGATAATATCGTAATTGTTGTTTTAACGATGCGCGATTTGACATTATCGAGTATTTTGCAAAAACCATTCAAAACACCGCTACAGAGCGCGCACATACATTACGCGTGCGCATTTAGAGTGCGTTCTTTCACTGCATGGTTCAGTCTATTAAAATACATTTAGAATGATCGCAAAATTCTAAATATGGGGACAGAAAATTTGTATATTTATATCATTTCAATATCACACGAGGAGTACCGTTTTTTCTTCAAAAGTTACTGTGATTACAAATGTAATTTTTACAACAGTTCAATAAACAAGAAGTTAATTAGGAGACTTGCGTTATAGAAACCACTGTTTTTGCGCTATTTCGACGACAAAAATAATTCCAAACAAAGCCACAGCGCTGTTTTGCGTCTCTGAGCAACATGACGGTGTTTCGTTCCTGAATGAATCAACCGTTTAAATGATTCGGTTCAATCGCAGTGACTCACTTATTAACAGTGACTTGCTGCCACCTACTGGCGGTTTTAATATAAATATTACCGTATTGACTCGAATATAAGACGATGTTTTTTTCTTGGAAATACATCTGAAAAAACGCGGTCGTCTTATATTCAGGGTCTAGACTTTGGCATGTCAATAATACACCCACAACAATAGGTGGCGCCAAATACGCATAAAACGAGTGTGCCATGAAATACGTAATGTAATGCGTGTTGTAAAGATCACGAGTAAAAACAAAAGAAAAAGAAAGCCTTACAGCTGCATGAGTCGTGACTGTCACGTTAGCCTGATGGGACCAAACTCCCTTTGTGATTTTAAAACGTAAGACAGTACCCAGATTTGAAGACTACAGTAAGATTTAACTTCTACTGTTAATAAGATTTTGGTAGGCTACTATTAGATGGATAGCCTAAATGTCCTAATTCAGATGGGCTACTTGTTTTTTTGTTTTTTTTATGGTATATCAAAAAGTGTATATTTTTTAAATGTGATTGTTGGTACATTTTACCAGTTTTTACCATACTTTCAAAACAAAAATTAAAATAGGAAAAATATGCAATATGAAAATAATTGAAGACAAAATGTGTTTTACTGAGAAAATACAAGATTTGGTTTTTAAAAAGCCTTTTTCCAAAAGGTACATCTGGAAAAAGGGGGGTCGTCTTATAATCAGGGTCGTCTTATATTCGGGCCAATACGGTAAATATTTACGATTTTAATTAAAAAAGCCCAAATGTCTTATTATGCTAATTCACTGATTAAATGTAAGAATTTGACTCAAAACATAACTTTTCGGAAAATGGCTTTATAAAGGTAAAAATGCCCAAAGAAGGTAAAAAAATCAATTTAAACGTATTGGAAAAGATTAATTTCTATCAGTGTGAACACAGAATATGAAGAATATCAAAAACTAGGAATCAGCTGTCCGGTATAGTCCTTAAGATATCAGCACAATAACATACTCGGCAAAATATCGTCTAATTATCGTTATCGATAAACTCCCAGAAAATATCGAGATATTATGTTTTGTCAATATCGCACACCCCTAGTTCACCCCTAGTCCACTGTATGAAGAATTTTTGGGTATAATATTTCACAGTTTACTTTATTTTGCTATTCTCACTTACATAAATGAACTATAGCATCCTGCACCCACTAGTAAAAAAAATATCAAAAATTGTGGTGTCTGAATAATTTTTGGTTTGACTGTATCTGCTCAACACACTTCTCTTTCATCTTTTCTGTTGTAGCGGCCACTGAATATTATCTCCTCGTAAATTAATTGTTAATTAACAGTTATGATTGAGAAGAGATTCTTTTTTTATTACCAAGTGATAATGAGACTCTTATGAATGTGAGCCGTAATTATCGAGAGCAGTGTCTCTCATAATTATGACAGTCATACTGTCGTCCAATCAAGAAGCAGCATCTGCTATCATCGACTCTGTGGTGTCACATGACCTCAGGCGGTGACGTCATAGAGCTTTTACACCTGTCTGATGCCAAACGGTGTTGAGTAACTATCATCTGTATCGATCAGATATCGATTAGATGCTGATGAATTTAAGCACATGCTGTATGGTGCACTTCAATAAAAATGTTTCTTTTGTGTCAATTTCAGTTTTATTTTAAGTTTTCAGACGCTTTTAAAACATCCTGAAAGGTAAATCTATCCACCATGTTTTTAACTGAGGCGAGACGTTTACTTCACGACAGTTTACCTTTATTAATGATGTTTTTCAAAACAATAACATAGAAATTGAGGATTATATACACTTGTGTAACATTAAAAACGGAATCCAGCTCTGGTAATGCCGGTTCCTCGGATTTACATGAATGTACATATTATTGATATATAATATAGGCCTACTTATTGGGATTTTACATGTGTAATATTGAGTTCAGATCAATGAATTAGGAAAATGTGTTTTATACATTTAAAAAACAACATCTGTTATATTTAGCAGCCCTTAAAATGTTAAAATGACTCAATTTAAACGGAATATAACCAAGCTAAGGTAAATAAAACAAAATTAAAACAAAAATGAAATGTCATTTTTAAAAATAATAAACTATAGTAACATTTAAAATAGTTTATTTACACTTGATAGATTGCTTATTTCCATGTTAATGTGGTTTTGTGTCCTGATCTAATTCATTAGGTACCTTCAGATTCATGACGTGAGTATGAATTATTTCTTAAATCTTAATTTGCATGTAAGTTAGATATGAATTTGCTTTAATCTTCTTCTTTGACTCCAGGATCAGCGATGGTGATCATCTTCACAGATGTCCTCCGGCGAGAGCTCCGCCCATCATGATGTCACATCCTGTGGGAGAGAGGCATTAGTTTTTAAACTCCGAGGTATTATTATACTATTATAGCATTAATATTTAAGTTATTTTCGTCTGACTGTCTGTGCAGATAAACACATCACAGACGTTCAGATGAAAATACTCCAGAATATTCCACGTGATCGACTGACGTCTGTCAGATCTGAGGAAATCTTCCCAGACGGTTGTTCTTCCTCTCCGTTGTTCTCCTCATTGTTCTGCTCGTCTTCACTGTCTTCATCACCGGCGGCACTTTCATTACTTTCTCCTTCCTCACTGCCATCTTCTTCCTCCTCATTTTCTTTGCCTCCTTCCTCTTCTCCCTCTCCATCTCCTCCTTCCTCGTCCTCTTCATCTCCCTCATCTTCTTCCTCGTCTCCATCTCCTCCTTCCTCTTCCTCTTCCTCCTCTGCTTTCTTCTCTTCACTGCCGTTTTCCTCGCAGTCGCTCTGAAAGGCATTAGAAAGTCAGATTTGGTTTCTGATGAAGTGAAACCTGTTGAACAGCTTCACTATTTCGGTCCCTGTTTGAAAGGCGAATCATGCCATTTTGATTAAAATCTAATAATGTCGATGGGTTTGGACGAGGGTTTGTGTTACAGGTATGTTTCGGTCATATCATATATCATAATATGGAAACAGTGAGTTCTGAGTAATATAGTCAAATTAGTGTGTTCGTCTGTGTATGTTTGCATGTGTGTGTGTGTGTGTGTGTTTGAGTGCATGTGTGTGTGTGTGTGTGTTTGTGAATTTGTGTGTGTGTGTGTGTGTGTGTGTGTGTGTGAGTGAGTGTGTGTGTGTGTCTGTGTGTGTGTCTGTCTGTCTGTGTGCGTCTGTGTGTGTCTGTGTGTGTCTGTGTCTGTGTGTGTCTGTGTGTGTGTCTGTCTGTCTGTGTGCGTCTGTGTGTGTCTGTGTGTGTCTGTGTCTGTGTGTGTCTGTGTGTGTGTCTGTCTGTCTGTGTGCGTCTGTGTGTGTCTGTGTGTGTCTGTGTCTGTGTGTGTCTGTGTGTGTGTCTGTCTGTCTGTGTGCGTCTGTGTGTGTCTGTGTGTGTCTGTGTCTGTGTGTGTCTGTGTGTGTGTCTGTCTGTCTGTGTGCGTCTGTGTGTGTCTGTGTGTGTCTGTGTCTGTGTGTGTCTGTGTGTGTGTCTGTCTGTCTGTGTGCGTCTGTGTGTGTCTGTGTGTGTCTGTGTCTGTGTGTGTCTGTGTGTGTGTCTGTCTGTCTGTGTGCGTCTGTGTGTGTCTGTGTGTGTCTGTGTCTGTGTGTGTCTGTGTGTGTGTCTGTCTGTCTGTGTGCGTCTGTGTGTGTCTGTGTGTGTCTGTGTCTGTGTGTGTCTGTGTGTGTGTCTGTCTGTCTGTGTGCGTCTGTGTGTGTCTGTGTGTGTCTGTGTCTGTGTGTGTCTGTGTGTGTGTCTGTCTGTCTGTGTGCGTCTGTGTGTGTCTGTGTGTGTCTGTGTCTGTGTGTGTCTGTGTGTGTGTCTGTCTGTCTGTGTGCGTCTGTGTGTGTCTGTGTGTGTCTGTGTCTGTGTGTGTCTGTGTGTGTGTCTGTCTGTCTGTGTGCGTCTGTGTGTGTCTGTGTGTGTCTGTGTCTGTGTGTGTCTGTGTGTGTGTCTGTCTGTCTGTGTGCGTCTGTGTGTGTCTGTGTGTGTCTGTGTCTGTGTGTGTCTGTGTGTGTGTCTGTCTGTCTGTGTGCGTCTGTGTGTGTCTGTGTGTGTCTGTGTCTGTGTGTGTCTGTGTGTGTGTCTGTCTGTCTGTGTGCGTCTGTGTGTGTCTGTGTGTGTCTGTGTCTGTGTGTGTCTGTGTGTGTGTCTGTCTGTCTGTGTGCGTCTGTGTGTGTCTGTGTGTGTCTGTGTCTGTGTGTGTCTGTGTGTGTGTCTGTCTGTCTGTGTGCGTCTGTGTGTGTCTGTGTGTGTCTGTGTCTGTGTGTGTCTGTGTGTGTGTCTGTCTGTCTGTGTGCGTCTGTGTGTGTCTGTGTGTGTCTGTGTCTGTGTGTGTCTGTGTGTGTGTCTGTCTGTCTGTGTGCGTCTGTGTGTGTCTGTGTGTGTCTGTGTCTGTGTGTGTCTGTGTGTGTGTCTGTCTGTCTGTGTGCGTCTGTGTGTGTCTGTGT